GGCGCCGAGCCTCTGTCATTTTTTTACAGGTGGAATCCTCCCTCTGTAGTAGCTACCTCATGATCCCTTGGTGGGCGGGTTGCTCTGGACTGGTTTTTCATGTTGTCAGAATTTTTCTGTGGCTCAGTCTGGGGCCCTAGACAATGCTTAAAGTCCTCTGCACTCTTGCCCAAGTTCTCTCAAGGTAGTTCAACTGAGTGCCAAGTCCAAATGAAACAAAAACAGTTCACAGGTAAGGCCTCTTCAGTTTGCAATCTCACTGCTGCTGTACTTACAGCTGCCGGTGGGATTAGACCGAATGAAAACATGCAAGCACTTGCCAGTTCCCCAGAAGTCTCTCGCTGACTCCCTGTGTCCCAAAAGGGATGTTTCTGGGAAGATCCCACCAGCCAGAGATGCCTAGAGTCTTCTCTCCCCAGACTCACCATGCCCAGTTGCAAGGAAGCTGTTACTTGGCCGCCATCTTGCTCCGAACATAGGAAAAAATATTAAGTCCAAAAAAATTAGGCACAGCCAGTACACAGGTAGTACAGATATTGTGAAAGGTGTGTACAACTCTGAAGTTCTGGGGAGACCCCCTGTCAGGAACCTTTCATCCTAATAAGAGAGATAAGATAATAAAACAGTAATTACAATACAGTGGTCCCTGTAACAGATCCAAGTATAAAGTTCTTTGCCAAAGGGGCGTCCTGGGCACTGCAGGGTGCTGAGCAGTGTCTCTGCCTCTATCCATTCCATGCCAGGAGCAGCCTTTCATTGTGACAACCACAGATGTCTCCAAACTGTGCCCAGTCTCCTCTGGGAGGCAGAATAACCCCATCTTGAGATCCACTGGATGGGATAATTATGTTTGGAGAAAGTCTGAATGATTAAACAGGGCTGATCCACAGTGTTCTGTTTTCCATGTAATCACTGGGTGCTTTTCCTTTTACCGTCCATTTCCTTCCAGGCCATGCTCAAGTACTCATATCATCCCCTCAACCGGAGTTTTGGGTTGGCCTTTGACTACAATGGGACACTTGACATCCTCATCAGCCCAGGCCAGAGAGGCGTTCTGATCCTCTGGTCTGAAAGAACCCTGTTGTTTTCCCACAACTCAGGTGAGCTGAAAAGTCCAGGGGAGGGCAGCCACTCCAGATGGGATGGGGACAGCCTGGATACCCTTCACTATACCCATGACTTGAGTGGATCATTCACTTTACTGACTTCACCACATATTCCCCTACTTCCTGCCTGGCAGAATATTTAGGGCCACATAGACAGAGAAGTTCTGAAATCCACCAGGCTCCTAGGGCAGAGGGTCTAGGTCTTTGGTCAGGGAACCTGACACCTTATTTTGAGGCCCCCATGAGATGGGTAAGGCCCCCCCTTTGGGTGTTAAGCATCTAGGATAGAGGTTGTTCTCAGTATCCTAATTAGTAAACCTCCCCTAGGTAAAGAAAAATTAGGAAATGGCATGGCCTTCCATGTTGGTACCCTCACCTTGCCAGTGTGTATGAAGAGTAGAATAAAAAGCAGCTCTCTAGGAGCATGGCTTCAGGGAGCCCTGGACACAAGTATGGCCACAAGAGAACCTGCCATCCCAGTCCACCCATCCCACCTATCCCCTAGTGCTAGGCAACTTGCACTGGCCAGCCATCCAACCATCCTAAGGGGCAGAATAGTCGGGACATGGCTGTTGCCTGAAAATGGAAGAAAAGTTCCCAGGGCCAGCCTACCCATTTTGGGAACCCATTACAGAAAGAAAGCTTTGTTTCATTCCTTGTATTTGTAACCCAGATTAAAAGACATTCTGTGGGCTGCGCCTGTGGCTCAAGGAATAGAGTACTGGCCCCAAATACTGGAGGTGGTGGGTTCAAGCCCAGCCCCGGCCAAAAACTGCAAAAAAAAAAAAAAAAAAAGGCATTCTGGCCAGGCACAGTGGCTCACACCTATAATTGTAGCACTCTAAGAGGCTGAGCAGAGGGTCACATGAGCTCAGAAGTTTGAGACCTGCCTGAGGAAGAGCAGGACCCCATCTCTACTTAAAATACAAAAATTAGCCAGATGTGGTGGCAGGTACCTGTAGTCCCAGCTAGTTGGAAGGGTGAGGCAGGAGGATCACAAGAGTCCAGGAGTTTGAGGTTGCTGGGAGCTATGATGATGCCCCTCATTGCTCAGGGTGATGGTGTAAGCTCCTGCCTTAAAAAAATAAAAAAGATAGATAAAATAAAATAAAATAAAGGCATGTTCAAACCTTGCAGTTGATTGAAAAAACACATCTCTTTCATACACTCAACAGCCATTTCTCAGAATGGTCTTCCCAAGGAGAGTAATAAGAGTTACGTTTTCTTAAACTTAAGTGTATTCCTATCATGTTTTACAAAATTGCATCTCAGCCCTGTATTTTCCTTGATATTTTTATCCTTTGAATAAGGAACCACTGAAAAATTGCAAGAACAAAGAACCAGTCGCAGGGTAGGGTGGGCTGTTACAGGGGTGACTTGGGGTCTCAATGGTTGGGTCCTCCCTTTGTAGAATACATGTGGTCATCATGCACATCCCTTTTATTTTCTAGGTCAGCTTTTCGACTCTGTCTGGGTATACGATGGACCGTACGACATCTATCCTTCTGTCTTTGAATCTGGCATCACCATCCATAACGTTGCTGCCAGTGCGTAGACAACCCCAATGCAGTAGCTTTCTAGAAAATCCATACCTGGCTTATTAACTGTTGACCTGCCAGATCAAACCCAGCCAAAAGGCAAAACCAAAACCTGATTTTTACACATTCAGAAAGGATCCAGAGAATAAAACTTTGTGCCTTTAAATGATGCAATGGGTTATCTGTCAGGTACCACTTTGCCAGGGCTGCCACAGCAAAGTACTACAGAGTAGGTGTGGCTTAAAATAAGGTTTCATTCTCTGACTGAACTAGTTCTTGTTTGATTATGGAGGTAACTGAGTTAAGATGAGGTCATGAGGGTGTGGGCCATGAGGGTATGGGCCTTGGTCCAATATAACTGATGTCCTTAATGAAAAGAGGAGATTTGGGCTAGGGGAAGTGGTTCATTCCCACAGTTCCAGCACTTTGAGAAGTCAAGGTGGGAGGATTGCTTAAGGCTATGAGTTCAAGACCAGCCTGAACAGGATAGTGAGACTCCATCTCTACAAAATAATTTTATAAATTAGCCAGGCATGGTGATACATATCTAAATTGCAGCTACTTGGGAGGCGGAGCCAGGAGGATCACTTGAGCCCCAGAGTTGGAGGCTGCAGTGAGCTGTGATCACATCAATGCCCTCTAGCCTCGATGAAAGAGAGACCCTGTCTCAAAAAAAAAAAAAAAAAAAAAACAAGGCTGTGCCTGTGGCTCAGTGAGTAGGGCGCCAGCCCCATATACCAAGGGTGGCAGGTTCAAGCCTGGCCCCGGCCAAACTGCAACCAAAAAATAGCTGGGTGTTGTGGCAGGCACCTGTAGTCCCAGCTACTTGGGAGGCTGAGGCAAGAGAATCGCCTAAGCTCAAGAGCTGGAGGTTGCTGTGAGCTGTGATACCACAGCATTTAACTGAGGGCAACAAAGTAAAGCTCTGTCTCTAAAAAAAAAAAGAACATATTATCCTGCACAGCAAATTTATACCCATTGCACAGCAACTCCCCTTTGTTACCCACCCCAGCCCTGGTAACCACCATTCTTCTATTTAAATTAGTTTAACTGTTTTTGATTCCACATATAAGTGATAATTGTCAACATAACCAAAAAAAGACATCAGAAGAAAAATATGCTGAATTTATTTGGGAATTTTAAAAAAGAGGATTTTTAACCTGGGATGCAGGGCCATGCACACTGTGATGGAAGAGTAAAGGTAAACTGTTACTGACAAAAGGGAAAGGTTCTCGTAAACTGCTTAAAACCAGAGCTCAATGGTTCCAGAGGCTCAAAGCTAGAATTACCTTCAGTTCGTTGGTGGTGATGTCATTACTGGGTAAGTATTTCCAGAGTATCTTACTTATGGTAGTTTAAAGATGCCTAGTAATAAACCTTGTTATAAATTGTGTACATTGTGAGAAACATGCAGGCCATGCAAAGTAAGAGATGCATGAAGAATGTGAAGGGATTTTTTTTTTCTGAGACAGTCTTGCCCCAAGCTGAAGGGCAGTAGCATCATTATGGCTTACTGCAGACTCCAACTTCTAGGCTCTAGAGATCCTCCTGCCTCAGCCCCCTTAATAGCTGAGACTACAGGTAACTGCCACAATGCCTAACTAATTTTTCTATGTTTTTGTAGAGATGGGGGTCTTACTCTTCCTCAAGCTGATCTCAAAGTCCTGAACTCAAGCGATCCTCTTGCCTTGGTCTCCCAGAGTTCTGGGATTATAGGCATGAGTTACAGTGCCTGGCCTGTTTTTTAAAGTATAATTTCCATTTTATTTTTCCCCAAAGGATAGTTTTTCCTTAGTCCTCAAGGACTGATCTCCTTACACAAGCTTTAGTGGTGGTTGTGGGGCAGTACCTGCAGGTCTAAATCAGGGTAGGGGTGTTCAGTTCTTGCAGTCTTCCCAAGAACAATTCCACCTTGCTGTGAATGGCATGACTCTTGGAGTGATGTAGCTTCATATACAGCTTCAGAAGCACATAGGCATCAAAGACACTCACTTCAGAAATGTCTCTGACAGCTGCAGCCTCCACCATGATCTGAATGACAAACTCCTGAGTAGCTGGGACTACAAGCATGCATTACAATGCTCTGCTATTTTTTTCTATTTTTTTTTCTAGAGACAAAGTCTCACTCTGCTTAGGCTGGTCTCTAGCTCTTGACCTCCAGAGATCCTCCTGCCTAAGCCTTCCAGAGAGCTAGGATTACGGGTGTGAGTCATTGTACCTGGCCTGCCCTTCTTAAAATGGGGTTGTCTTTTTATTATCAAGATGTAGGAGTTCTTTATGCATTCTGTATCCAAGTCTCTTATCAGATATATGATCTGTAAATATTTTCTCCCATTCTGTGGGTTGTCTTTCTATCCCTCTTTTTTTTTTTTTTAAACCAGTGAGTACACATCACCTCCCATCCTAGAATCTGTAATGAGTCCTTATTTTCTATTTTATTTTTGGTTGAGACAGAGCCTCAAGCTGTTGCCCTGAGTAGAGTGCTGTGGCATCACAGCTCACAGCAACCTCCAACTCCTGGGCTCAAGCGATTCTCCTGCCTCTGCCTCCCAAGTAGCTGGGACTACAGGTGCCTGCCACAACACCCGGCTATTTGGGAGGGGGGGCATTGCAGCCATGATTGTTGTTTGGTGGGCCCGGGTTGGATTCAAACCCATCAGCTCAGGTGTATGTGGCTGGCACCTTAGCTGCTTGAGCTACAGGCGCCGAGCTGAGTCCTTATTTTCTTTTCTTTCTTTTTTTTTTTTTTTTATTGAATGGTAACTATATACATTAATGCACTTCTGGGGTACAGTGTGGGGTTTTCACACACAATCTGAAACACTTCCATCAAACTGGTTAACATAGCCTTCGTGTCATTTTCTTAGTTATTATTTTAAAACGTTCACATTCTGCTCTTAGAAAGATTCACTTGTACCCTTGTAAGATAAACCTCAGAAGTGAGTGAGTCCTTATTTTCTAAAGAATGAAATCCAAATGCAGAGTCCAGATGTCTTTCTCTCCCTCTTTTTTTAAAATGAGTGAGTACATATCACCTCCCATCCTAGAATCTGTAATGAGTCTTTATTTTCTATTTTTCTTCTTTTTCTTATTCTTTTTTTTTGTAGAGACAGAATCTCACTTTATCGCCCTCAGTAGAGTGCTATGGCATCACAGCTCACAGCAACCTCCAAGTCCTGAGCTTAGGCGATTCCCTTGCCTCAGCCTCCCAAGTAGCTGGGACTACAGGTGCCTGTCACAAGGCTCAGCTATTTTTTTGTTGCAGTTCAACCAGGGCCAGATTTGAACCTGCCATCATCAGTATATGGGGCCGGTGCCCTACCCACTGAGCCACAGGCACTGCCCATGAGTCCTTGTTTTCTACAGAATGAAGACCAAACGCATTTAGGTCTCATTCTACAGCCCATCACTATCATGTGAGATCACTTCTCTCCATCTAACCTAGGAGTCCTCAATCTGGGATCCTTGGCAATGTTGGAGAAATTTTTAGTTGTCACAACTGTATGCCTGGCAATGCTGCTGGTGTCAAACAGGTAGGGACAAGAGATGGCACTCAACATCTTACAATGTGAAGGACAGCCCCCAAGGGTTGATAGTGCCATGATTGAGAAATCCTAAGCCAAATAGTTCTGTCCTGGGTCTGCAAACACACCTCTACTTTTCTACATCAGGTACTTTTTTCAAGGTCCAACATAAGCTTTACTTTTCTGAAAACTTCCTTGACTGTCTTTTTTAAAAGAATAAAGATATATATTTGCTATAGTTACTTCCTTTCATAAAATCTTTCATTGGCGTCCTATATCTGTTGGAACTTTGTACCTGCAAAGCAATGGAAACAACTGCAACGTCTTCAGTGGAAGATTGGTTAATCATGTTATAGTTCTTCTGAGGACCAGAGCAGCAATCAGTCAGTTACAATCCCGGAATTGAAAGAAAAAAAATTAAGCTACAAAGCAGCTTAAAGAGTTCCACAGTGTGATCTCACATATATAAACTACCAGAAAGGATATTTATTAATATGGTAATAGTGAATATTATGTCAGAGGTCAGAAAACCATGGCTGACCGATTTTTATTTAAATAAAATGTTACTAGAACACAGCCACATCCATTCATATAACAGCTGCATACCAATGGGGAGTGGTCAGGGACATTTAAAAACAAATTGATCCCTGGGCAGCATCTGTGGCTCAGTGAGTAGGGTGCCGGCCCCATATGCTGAGGGTGGTGGGTTCAAACCCAGCCCTGGCCAAACTTCAACAAAAAAATAGCTGGGCATTGTGGTGGGTGCCTGTAGTCCCAGCTACTTGGGAGGCTGAGGCAAGAGAATCACCTAAGCCCAGAAGTTGG